ATTAAATCTGCATGCCAATGCACACACACAATTTGTGCCATTACATTTTATGATTGCAGGTGTCAACCGTATCAGTTTACAATCAAGCTGTATACATTAGCACGTGAGTTCTGAGAAGTGACAAAATCAAGTGTCATAGTGTAAGCACAGACAGCTTGTAATGTGCACTGTCCACACAGTTGTATGCTGATGAGTGATATGGAGGGTCTAGTGCTAATTTCTTTCAGCAGCTGAGAAATCTTCCCATCTTTTAATCCTTGCTCCCTCTATGCCCGTAGTGTTCAGAAGATAGGTTTTTTGTGTGTGTGTTTTTTTTAGTTTTGTTTTAAAACAGGGTTTATTTGCATTTTATCTTGAACCAAACCTTAAAGTAGAACTACGACCTCCCATTAAAAAACATGTACTGCAACACTTAGTGCATCTACGTTTACAGTTTTCTCTAAGCCCCCCCCACCCCTGCAAAGTTCACAAATACCTGTGGAGCCTTCCAGTGAAGTATGTGATGGTGTGGCAATGATGCTGCACTGCTCCTGATTTCACTGATTTCAGAGCAGAGTTGTCACTCTCATGTAGGATGTGCCTGCTTTACTACAGTGGGATGAAAATATGTTGCAGGGGCTGTGCCTATCAGCATTGTCACTACTAATTCACAAGCCTGTAGCTTGTCAATCAGCACCTGGCCACACCTAGTCCTGCCAACTGCTCTCTAGATTCACAAGAGTCCTTCTGTTGTTGAATTCCTCCTACTGTGCTGCAGTGTCTTTGAGGGGACGTGTGCGACACACAAATAAAAGAGGATTTTTTAACGGGTTCCCCGATGATCGGAACGTTTTTTTCTCGTGATGGAGGAAGAAACTGAAATTACTGGACCCATGTTGGTCTATGGGAAATCGGATGTAAACACATCAGATTACCCCCGATCCGGCACGATTAGGTCCACAAAATCTGATTTGCGTTTTTCCAGACCTGGCCGGAGCTGGGGCTAACCCGGATGTAAACGGACGCCCATCCGATTAGATTCGGCTGCCCATAGACTGACATTGGGCTGAGAAACTAAAAGGCAGACCTGATTGGAATACCCCTTGAAAGGGACCTAAATGTTAACTCTGTTTAGTTAAAAAAAACAGACTTGCAGATGTCTATTCCATCACGACTATCTTATGACAGGACTATTAGGATACTCTGGCTTAATGGATGTTTACGACATCATGCTTTGCCTGTAGCTTGGACTCTTTCAGTGGGATTTATGATGCTTTTGCTTTTATGTAAAGCGTCTTAGGCTTAACTTCCCTCTCTACATAAATATAGTCCCTTGTGGCATAATAAATAATTATCGAAACTCTTTACAGTCCCTGATCTTGAACGGTGTCTGTTTTTTGTATCAGGTCTTGTGGTTTGATGGTGTGAAACCCTTTTCCCAGTTAAAGGATGGATTTGGTTTACCCGACTCTGTTATTTTATTATTTACAACTGTGACACGCTCTTTTGTCACAATTTCTGGGGGTTTCCCTACCCTCACCGCAGCTCCTACCGGTATTATAGAATTTTTGTGTGACCCAACCTCCACTAAACTTTTTCCTCTTTTATACAAAATGCTTCTTACCCCCCAGGCTGCTAGTTTGGCCTAGAAACCTAAGACTAGAAGGGAGAGAGAAGTTGGGGAGATGGAGGATGAGGACTGGGATGAGGTTCTAGAGGTTTGCAAGCTGGCCTCCCCTAAACTACTTGATAGATTAATTCAATTATATGTCCTCCACAGATTGTATCTGACTCCTATACGACTTTCCGGATTTCGTCCCATGTATAGTAATTTGTGCCCTAGGTTTTCTGTCACGCTGTGTTCCTTCTTTCATTTATTATGGGGTAGTACGCTGATCCAAGGATACTGATGTCATGTTGTCCAATTTCTGCATGGCAAAATGGGTTCCCCAATCTCTCATAAACCAAAACAATGCCTTTTGGAAATATTCTCAAATTTAGATACATTTACTACTACATTCTTGCATGGAATTCTTTTTGTTGCACCAGATTGCTAGGACCTGGATTCAAGCTCTACCACCAACTTGTGCTTCTTGGATTGCCCAGGTTAATGCCACCTTATCCTATAATAAAATCTAATTTATGAGCACAGGGGTTGCCCTGCTAAATTCCAAAAGGTTTAGGACCGCTGGTTAGCACATTCTGAGTCAGACATAAGATTTAAATCTGGATGGATTTGTCACTGACTTGGAGAAATGAGGATGGCACCGTGTTCAGTAACAAACCCTCATTCCCTTCGCACAGTTTGGGGCTTGTTGGATCTCATTATCACCACATGCACTATTCTTACTACTCCCGTTTTGGTTCAGGAATGCCTTGTTTGACCTTCGGCTGAAGATGACAAATGAACTCTCTGAAATCTTACCTCCAGCAGGAGATTTCCTATAATAGCCTGAGTGCCTGCAGTCACCGTTTGGCCAACAGTTTTTGGCCTGGCCAGCCAACAACCTCACCCACCTCTAGTTTACTCACTGACATATCAACATGGATGCCACACTACTTCCTCAAACTCTGTCCAAAGCTGAGCTCATAATATCAAATCTGTTCTCATGCTCGGCAGAACTTCTATTTTGCAGCAGACTGCCTTGCCTCTGGAATGGCTACATGGTGTCTGTGTATAAGTTTGTATAGGCTTGTAACCTGAGCCAGCACTACAGGAAGAGGCCCTGAGCTGAAAAGGGAAGTTCTCCCCAAGCATGAGAAGACATGATGATTTAAAAGGAAGAGCAGCAAAGAGAAGGGAAACTACCATGGATTACATACAAGGCACACATTACAGTATTGGTTTATGTTAAAAATTCTGAGGGTTTAATGTCACTTTAACTTGTTCTGCTGCTAGACTCATCAACATTACCAACTGCTCAGTGTCCTCTCGCCCAATGAATATAATATAAAATACTAACAAAACACAAAGCGGTCCACAACTTTTCCCAATATTACTCTACTACCGTGTCTCACATTATCACCCGATCTGTCCTCTCTGCTCCTTCTAAGGCCACCTACTCTTCTCACCTCCTCACATGCTTGTCTCCAGGATTTCTCCAGAGCCTCTCCCATTCTCTGGAACCCCCTACTCCAACCTGTCCAGCTATTTCCTACTCTGTCTGCCTTAAGGACATCCCTGAAATATCATCTCCTCAGGGACCTCTAACTCCCTATCCCACCTCTAACAACTGAATTTTTACTACCATCTTCATCGTATCCCTTCACAGTTATTACCTTTTGTAACACTTGCCCCTCCCTTTTAGAATGTAAACTCTTAGGAGCAAGGTCCTCCTAAGCCTCTTGTATTGAATTGTATTGTAACTGCACTAACTACGTTATAAAACGATACTGCATACACTATATAAGTCCTTTATAACAATTGTAAAATATGTAAAAATAGTAAGTGACTTGGGACATACAGTATTGCGGTATACATAGACATTAATACATCAGTGCTAAAAAAGGAAGGGTTTAATCTCCCTTCAAGTACTAGAAGTGTAACTTTGGATTTTTAAAGTAGTATTAAACTCTCAAACTTTTTCCAATAATGAATCCCGATCAAACAAATATACAATGTCCAGCAAAGTATTTCTTCACATTTTCGCTGAAACACTTGCAATTATTGATGCACCAATACTGATACCAGTATCAGTGCCAATACTGAGCAAACGCTCCGGTACCAAAAACTGATTCTGGCGCTTTAATTATGCAAATTGAAGCAGCTGCCTTGGGTCCCATGCTTGCTGGGGACCTCGCGGCAGCCTTTCTGGGATCCATTCGGCACCTGTTTACAGCGCTTCAGCTATCCCGCACATCTCCCCCTCCTGAGACCCTACACACATCTCCACCTCCTGAGACCCTTCTGGTCATCTCACTCTCCTGAGACCCTACACACATCCCCCCCTCCTTTAGACCCTCCGCACATCTTCCTCTTCTGAGACCCTCTGCACATTTCCCCCTCCTGGGACCCACCGCCCAAGACATCAGGCCGGTCCCCCCAGAGCAGCAGCACAGAGTATGTACAGGTATGGCGCAGCAAAACTGAACCTGAACTCCAGTTGCTTTAGAAATATTGCTTGCTGTTTCTGTTCTGTATTGCTGTATAATGTATTGCTGGAATCTGTAGTCCTCTATAGCTGATGGTATTATTCTGCATTGCTGTATAATGTATTGCTGGAATCTGTAGTCATCTATAGCTGATGGTATTATTCTGCATTGCTGTATAATGCATTGGTGGGATTTGTAGTTTTCTATAGCTGATGGTATTATTCTGCATTGCTGTAAAATGTAATGCTGGAAGAGAGGACGTGGTAGAAACACACACAGTTTACTAGCACACACAGTGGTGGCTCCATAGAACCCTGCAAGGGAAAGAAACCACCCTAATCCAGGATCTCAGGGGATCAGCTGATTCTAAAGGAAGCTCAAACTTTTACCCATCAAGAAGCAGCATCCATTGTAAGTGATGTAATTAACATTTGAAATAGCTGAAAAAACATCTTGACTTTAATAAATGATCTGCAGAATAAAATCCACTTGTACATTCCAGTGAGTGAAACCCTGCTGTGTCCGAGGCTGAGATTTATTCCCCATCCAACCCTGACAGCTGACTGGCTACACCCAGCTGCTCACACACACCTTACTAAACAGCTGATAAAAACATTGAACATGGGCAGTCCCGCTGACCCCGCCCCCACTATTTTCTCATTAGTTTAAGCACACGTCATTTACGCCCCCCTCCTTTCCAGTCCCCTAGTCTCCTGTCACTCTTAAAGCCAATCGCCTATGGCTATGGGGTGGATGACGTCACCGGTTGCTAGGAGGAATGCAACGTGCGGAGCTGTCAAGCTAAGCGGCCTCGTTTCAGCTCTCTAGTCCCCCCCCCCCCCTTTTTTTACAAAATAAGAGAACTTTTTTTAATGAAATTGCGGCGTGGCTTCTGATCGGTACCGAGTCCTCCGCACGCTGCCGTGCGTTCTACTACTGGCTTCGGGAAGCTGACGCTGACGTCATTAACCGGGCCTTTGGCGCGGAGTGATCCGCCCTCTTCGGCCCCCCGAGTTCCAGGAGGTGAAGCGGCTTTGGCGGAGGGTCACTCAAAAGATAGCACGCACTGTAGACGGAGTAAGGAGGAAAGACAGCTAAAGGAGTCCGCTGGGTCCTGGTGGAGGAGACGTGAGCCTCAGGTAAGGAGGGGGTGAGAGGAGGGGTGTGTGTATCCAGCGGGAGGGAGGAATACATTGTATCACACACACACACACACACAAGGCAGAGTGACAGTTTAAGCCATAGGAGCACATTGGGTGAGTATACAGAGCTGTATACAGGGGGCTTTATGAGGGGGAGGGGCTTTCCACATGTGCTGTCATTGTTTTTATTCCATGGTCGGCGGTCACAGGCAGTGCCCAGCAGTCCGGGACCCTTTTACTTTTCTCTAATCCTTCTTTCATTTCCTGTACATGTGGGGGCTGTGATGTGCCAGCCATGTCCACAGAGAGCCTGCGTCCCAATGTCCTGCCTGGTGTCTCCTCTCTGGTGTCACCCCAATGTCTTGCCTGGTGTCACCCAATGTCCTGCCTGGTGTCCCCTCCCCGCTGTCACCTTTCTGGATGCCATGACTGTCACTTCTAGGACCGCACTCCTACTACAAGGCTAGTGGCCAAAGCTGTCACCGGTCCTGATTTCTGGGAACACTTCTAGGTTGGCTGGCACATCCCTGGACGTGTCCCTTTATTTAAAGGCACGGCTCACTTTTTGCATAAATGTGATAATTGCTCCCACATCAGTAACATTGAAAAGTGCATGTAAAGTTTTTTTTTTGTATTAAAGCCTGCAGAGCATTGCAGCCACCATCAGTGTTGTGGGTGCGATGCCCAGACTGTTCCTCCAGCCCCGGGTCCATACGAAGGTTTGGATCAACTTTTAGGGGTCGGAGGAAGTTATCGATGGACTACAAGTGCCATGATGTCAACACACTTGCACCCCATTGAGATCTCAGAGTCCCTCTGGCGTGGTGGGAGATGGGACTTGTAGTTTTCCTGTCTGTGAAGGTTCTCTTGTATCTGGGTCATGGTGTTGCTAATAGTAGTGACATTCTTCTGGATCTGTTCTGTAATGTTGACGATGTTTCGTACCTGCTTCTTCAGTTCTGATGACTGCCAGGCAGATATGGCAGCATTACAGGTAGCAAAGACTAACCCGGTCCCCATGGAAAGGCGGATGTAGGCTTTCCATTGGCAGATCCCTGTGAAGGTGAATAGATGACACGGCTGTGTGGACAGGAATACGGCGGATTGAAAACAAAGCAGATGTCTGTGGGGAGAAGCACCCTGTTACTATGCCTTTAATAAGCCACTTAACCCTCAAATGTTAGTAGCCGCTGACCTCTTGTATTGTCTGCTTCTTCTCCATCCAAACATTTCCCCCCTGGTTGCTCCATTCCCTTGCATGCTCCTATAGAGCCACCCTTTTGTGTGAGCTCCCGCCAGACGGACTACGAGCCAGCCTTGGGACATTCACAGCTTTCTTAAAAACATCCGGTGAAGGTCTGCGGGCACTTCCTGTTATGTAGTGACAACCCTCCTGCCGTTGTCACCCTGGTGGAGACTCCTGGACACACATTGAGCAGGCCTGGCCTATAGGTGTCACTATAGGGAAGCTGGATTAGGACAAGGGCATGTAGATAGGTAGTGACTGAAAGAAGCTGGAGGAGATCGGCAGCAGTGAGATTGTGGGGGGAAAAGAACACCTGAACGCCATCCAGGTAAGCTTTACTCTACTTTCATATATCGGCTCGGTGTATTTACAATGGAAACAAAGTGTGTTCTGATGGGATTGTTGTGTGCCGCGGTCCTCAGGGACAGCATTGGGAGGAGGAAGCCGAGGAGCGCTGCTTCTGGGATGATGTGCCCTTGGAAATCATTTTAAAGTGCAGGCCGTTATCTTATCAGGTTTAACTCCTGGAATTTCAGTGCCTCGTTCAGGCATCAAATAGCAGCGTACAGCTGGCACAGCTACGTCCCTGATTCCCCCCCTCCTTGTCATGGCATATTTATGCAAGGCTTTCGAATCAGCAGAGGGTACGAGACTTCTTTATTTATTTAGCATCTTAATAAGACAGGAAGAACACTTAGCTAGGGGTCTACCAATGTATACCATGGAGTGAGGGGATGGTGGGTGCTTTTATTATTATCTACAAATGCTGAACATGGGCGCGTGTTTATTTTTTCTGAGATATAGCAGTTTGTAATAAATGTTTTATTTTATTCTTTTTGTTCATGTTATTGTAACCAATCAGGCAACCACTTTGGGGAAACAAAGATTTAGTAGCTTGTACTTCACCTTCTCTTTTTTTTTTTTTTTTTTTAATTTAAAAAAAACATTTTTTTTAGTGTTATTTTATTCTTTTTTTTCATATTATTGTTAAAAATCAGGCAACCACATTTATAGAAACGGAGGTTTAGCAGTTTTGTAATTCTTTTGTTTTTTTCCCTCTTTCCTGTTTATATATTTTTTTTCTCATATTTGTTCATATTATTGTTACAAATCAGGCCACTACTTCAGAGAAACTGAGATTTAGCAGTTTGTACTTCTTCTTCTTTCTTTTTTTTTTAAGATTTATTTTTCATTTTATTGTTGAAAATTGTGCAACCACTT